CAGTACCGCCTGAAAGTATGGACCCATCAGGTTGCGGCAAAACCTTGTCTTTGCCACGTGCTCCCACCTTGCATCCACCGCAGGTGAAAATATGTTGCACCGCGGTAAAGACGAGTGCGACTGCAAAGGAATAAATACTGCAGCAAAACAGACGAGGTAATACCTCGGGAAAGTAATGTATGTGTATCAAGTAGAGTGGCATTTTTTCATCAACATTGCATGTAAACTCCATCATAATTCGAAATCAAGAAACACGCTCGATGGAAAGTTGAACATTTTACATGTAAATGCCTATCCTCTACTTTCAAAATCTACATGTGCTGACTTTTGGTAAACCCTTTTACGAACTCTGACTACACTACTCGCAGCCGTTTAATTAAGGGTTCCCAGGGTGTTGAAGGTCACTTGATTACAACGGCAACAGGATGGAGCGGTCTATTACTGTCGTAATCAACAACGCGTTGATACAGTGCCATTAAAGTACCTCTGTTGATCCACAATTTTGGCAACACGAGCTAAACGTTACCAGTTTCAGGTAAAAATGTAACTGTTCATCGTCTAATTCCATTTTTTTTTTAATTTTAAAATAGATGCATTGAAACTAGTAACGCAACTTCGTGACTTTGTATTGGAAACAACCAAGTGTGTAGCATCTTTTGATTTCCGCAAAAGGTCACAGAAAATGTATAAAAAAATCTTCTAGCCTAAAGTGGTGAAAGGTTTCCTCAAAATGCATAGATTAATATACCATAACCCTTCCAAAAACCCTGGAATGCAACACGAAAATAGCGGTATGTCTTTTGTCGGCTTTTCGGAATTTCGTGCTTCAAAAGGAAACTATGGGCATAGCAACCTTTCATGGGGACGGTGAGCTTTTTCCAACATTTTGATTAGAATTGTAACAAGCCAAATAACAAGCCTTATCACGACCACGTATGAAAGTTGTTTACTTTCTCACTGAGTTCTCAATGAAGACCATAGCCGAGATACATCTGATAAGACATCGCATTTCCTTTAAAGTCGAAAGCTATTTTAACCATTGTTTATGAAGCCTCTCGTTTGTGATTCCACCTATTCTCCATCCCCTAAAATTCGCAGTAAATATACTGTGGGACCAGGCGCATTTCATTGGTTGCCACAAAGTAATTCTAAACGATTTACAAAGTGGCTAACCAATAATATTTGATCGACCGATAGGTTTCTGATTTGCAAAACACTCACAAGTTTATTATATATGTAAATGAATTCGAGTCGTCTACACAAACTTAAGGGTTAAAAACTGGAGCATGTAGTTAGAAATTTAGTCTAAAAAGAGCTAACATTCTATTTGATGTGGAAACAGACCGATGGTTATCATTGTTTGACAATGTCTGGTCACCAACATGTCACCGACACACTCAAGCAAAACGAGTTGAGCTGTCAGTGTTCTCCTTTTCAGGCAGTAACCAGTAAAATTTACCACCTGTAGCACCACTCATTACCGCCTAAAATCCTTTGGAATTCTTGAAAATTCAACAGGCAAAAGAAAAAAATATATAGTTGTTTCACCAACGTAATCAGTATTTTATCCTTGTAAAAGAATAAATAAACAGATTGAAAGATAAACTGCGCAGGCTATGGTTTGTAAGTACTATCAGCTGTGGCTTTCGAACTTTGAGGCAAGATCCGCGAATTTTCGGCGGGCTTTCTGCCACTATTCCATCGTGGCAGATGTCATTTCTTCGCACATGCATCGTAGTTGTTTACGTTCAGTTTTGCAATGAAGCGACTATGAACGTTGTTCTCATTTCTCTCCGTCAGCAATGGCAAGAAGTCACGAATGGAAACAGTTACAAGTAAAGTAATTTTATACGTTACAAGTATTTGATTTGCAAGCAATGTGGGGAAATCAGTTCCATGAACTTCCCACCTAACTATTGGCTTTAGAAAACTGGTGTTGATAACCAACATTCACGTGTGGTGATCAAAAACTTCATCTTCGTCACGAAATGCTCCACATTCAGCTCAAAAGTGTTTAAAATCTATTTTCAGACGAC